CAAAATTTGGTTTGTTTTCCAAGAATCGGTCAGTAAATTACAGTGAGGAAAATAAAATTAGCTAGCTTTGTCTCTATAGTCCACATAACCGTCGTGAAGTACAGGAATATTTTCGCCTTGTGGAGGAAGAATTTCCTGAGGACAGTCGCCACGCTGGCTGTTCATAAGCACACTGGAAAAAAAAAAAACACATTGGATCTAGAGTCCAGACTCTTGAAAACATTGACAAGAAAAAGGAATCTTGATTCAATCAGATGTAAGCTTAAATCAAAAGGAAGTCCGCTCAAATTAAGAGGCTTGGTTCTTGATTTAAGCTTAAATCTGATTGAATCAAGGGTATTTTTTCTTGTCGATGTTTTCAAGAGCTTGGACTCTAGATCCAATGTGGTTTTTTTTTTCCCCCGAGTGCACAAATGGTACGAAAGTGTCTTTTTCCTCGAACGATCACTTTAACTTGTACTTGCAGATTTGATTAAAGTGATGCGCTGAGACGCTGTAAACGCCAACTCAAAAACTAATTATAATTCCATCATTTTTACACTGCCATAATAAGTTCTCTGGGATGTTTCTTTGTCAGTCTTCAGTGTAACAGTTGCAACGCGGCAAAAACGCATAAGTACCCTTAGTAACAGGTCCCCTTTTGAAATGCGCTCTGGTCAGCCTTTCTTTAATTATGGCTGTGACAAATGGTCCTGAAAAACCTGTCTGTTCCTTCAGTATGCTCCTCCTTATCCTCTTGTAGACTTGGCCGGTTTGCGAGAACAAGGAGACAAGAAGATTAAGGAGGGTGAAAAAGGAAAAACTGGCTCTTCTGTCCCGTGTATTTTTATCTTGTTCTTTCTTTCNTTTTCAGAATTGAAAGCGATTTTTTACCCTCCTTTTCCTTTTATAATGATTCACAATTGTTTAGTCATCGAGGTGTTTGTCTGTTACAATGTTGCTGCACAATTATAAATCACTCACAGTCTCGTGTTGAGTCTTTATCTGACCGACAACATAAATAGAAACGTTGTAATTATCGTGTGATCTCTGCTAATTCTGTCAAATTCTGCCCTTATTTTCGAATTAAGCGTCGGATTTGATCACGGTGATTAGCAAGCCGAACCTCAAAATAATTTCTACGGCACACAATGGATCGAGTTATTATAGGAGATATAGGACAAAACTGGGAAACTTTAAACGATTAGAACTTTGTTTATAGAAAATGTTGAGGCTCCAAAAGTGGTTCTATTGGTTTTCTCGTGAAATTTTCATCTAGTAGCACCCCTAAAAGTTTACGAGTTTATGTTACGAAATAAACATCAAAATTTGTAGTTTTAGTAAACAATTTCATGTCCGACCTCTCTAATTGACTCCATCCATTGTGCGGCATCAATGAAAGCTTCGATTATTTTCGCTTTAACAGAGAATACCTTTAGTCGTACGTCCTGCATATTTGCGAGCGCTCATATAGAAGGTAGTCTCAAGTGTGTATTCTAGGAAAGTGTCTAAATTATTTCTGAGGGCAAAATTTGATTTGTTTTCCAAGCATTGTTTAGTGAACTACAGTGAGGAAAATAAAATTAGCTAGGTTTGTCTCTATAGTCCACATAACTGTCGTGAAGTACAGGAATATTTTCGCCTCGTGGAGGAAGAATTTCCTGAGGACAGTCGCCACGCTGGCTGTTCATAAGCACACTGGAAAAAAAAACACATTGGATCTAGAGTCCAGACTCTTGAAAACATTGACAAGAAAAAGGAATCTTGATTCAATCAGATGTAAGCTTAAATCAAAAGGAAGTCCGCTCAAATTAAGAGGCTTGGTTCTTGATTTAAGCTTAAATCTGATTGAATCAAGGGTATTTTTTCTTGTCGATGTTTTCAAGAGCTTGGACTCTAGATCCAATGTGGTTTTTTTTTTCCCCCGAGTGCACAAATGGTACGAAAGTGTCTTTTTCCTCGAACGATCACTTTAACTTGTACTTGCAGATTTGATTAAAGTGATGCGCTGAGACGCTGTAAACGCCAACTCAAAAACTAATTATAATTCCATCATTTTTACACTGCCATAATAAGTTCTCTGGGATGTTTCTTTGTCAGTCTTCAGTGTAACAGTTGCAACGCGGCAAAAACGCATAAGTACCCTTAGTAACAGGTCCCCTTTTGAAATGCGCTCTGGTCAGCCTTTCTTTAATTATGGCTGTGACAAATGGTCCTGAAAAACCTGTCTGTTCCTTCAGTATGCTCCTCCTTATCCTCTTGTAGACTTGGCCGGTTTGCGAGAACAAGGAGACAAGAAGATTAAGGAGGGTGAAAAAGGAAAAACTGGCTCTTCTGTCCCGTGTATTTTTATCTTGTTCTTTCTTTCTTTCGTAAGGAACCAGCGGTTGTTCGACTTAATCTGAAATACTGGTCACTCTGAAAATCGCCAGGGAATTTTCGATCTTGTTTTAAGAACATGCTCTCTGAAATAAAATTTGACTTATTACGAATTTTTCTAAAGCTAAAATTAGAGTCGTCAGATGTTACCTATCTGGTCTTTTATGTCTTGGTTGAATTTGGAAATTTTCAAGGTGTCCATATCGTTGAACGTGAAATTTTGATGCAAAATCGTAAATAATTAGAGTCAAATTCTTAACTCAACATTGAGAATGAGAAACCGGTCTTGTGTACCATAACATAGTGGCGCACACGCAGACCGTGTAGTTAGAGGTGAATTTTAGACTTTCCTAAAGTTTTCTTTTTGGGTTTTTAGCTATTTCCGTTGAGAAACGATTTTACCTTTCGCTCCAGCTAAAGTTTGCAAAAGTTTGCATTATTAGGGTCGTATATACAGTCGATTCTTAAACGGTTCTCTTCTTCAGAAGGCCCCTTAAGATTTAGTTTCAATGTATTATATCGTAGTTATTATTACCGATCTTCTTCATCACTTCTTTTAACCTCATAAGTTCAGTTATGCAAACTATGCGAACTGAAAGTTGGGTTTTACGAACCGAATATTTGGTATCATGCAAAGCATCATACTCTCCTTCGTTTTGTCGATATGCACTTTTATTTTATTTTCTTCTTGGAAGTCAAAATAATTGCATCACGTGTTTCGCCGTATCCAAATTTTCTACTCTGCGTTGAATTCTCTTGAGTCAGCCGAGAAGAGTTCACGCCCTCATTCCGTTTTTGGATGTGCATTGTTACCTACTTGGAAGTCGAATTAGTTATATCACGCGTTTCGCCCCATGCAACTTTTCTAGTATGCGTTAAAATCTCTGAGTCACCGGAAAAGAAACCAAGCTCTTTTTCATTGTTGTAGATATGTTAGAAAGTTTTGTTGGCTCATAATAATTATTGCCTCAATTGGTCACAATTATTGTGATCGGATCTGTGAAAATGGATCTTATTTTCCGGAAGAATATTTTGGCATCTTTGAACTGTGCACGAAGAACGATCGCGGGAAGCGCCTGCAAAACTGCAGGAATACTTCAGGCATTGCGCCGTTTCCCCGAACCTGCAGCTAGCGGAGACCGCTCTCTAGTCTCACGTGAATCGCGCCAAGTTCCGAGATCTATTTGGACGAACGGAACTGTGTGCATTATGACGTGAGCCCTGTTATGCACATACTGTTAGGAATCTCAGGGCTCATGTCTCAATGCACATAGTTCTGTTTGGCAGAAATACGTTCATTTGGAAATGTGTTTTACGTAGGGCAGCACGCATACACAACTTGGGAATGTGTGCGCAAAAATGGAGCGCCTTTTTATCAAAACGTAACACATTTGATATCATCCATTATTCAAGGTGGTACCCTACTTCACTGGAAAAAAAAACACATGGGATCTAGAGTCCAGACTCTTAAAAACATCGACAAGAAAAAATACTCTTGATTCAATCAGATTTAAGCTTAAATCAAGAACCAAGCCTCTTAATTTGACCGGATTTCCTTTTGATTTAAGCTTAAATCTGATTGAATCAAGAGTCCTTTTTCTTGTCAATGTTTTCAAGAGTCTGGACTCTAGATCCAATGTGTTTTTTTTTCCAGTCTATAGTAGAATACTGCCCCTAGCTTTATGCATAGCCATCAGTAAAGCTGTGTCTTTTAGATTATTTTCCGTTTGCTGTTATTTTCTATTCGCCTTCATGACCGTTCTGTGTAACCGTAAGGCCTCGGCACTTATTAAAATCCAATGTGAGTAATAAATTTTTAAATTAGGTATTATTACACACCGAAAAAAAACTCTGGAAGCCGTACTTACGGGCTATATAGACATACCGTCCGCGTTCCGGGTTCAGCACCCGAAGCAATCGAAGCTACGGTTCTGGCACCCGTATCTCTCGGCATCTGAGCCCGGAACGGACGGTATGTCTTTATACCCCGTAATTTTTTTTTCAGCGCAGCGTATCGGCTCTCATCCAAATATTTTCAATATATAACCACGGTCCGGAAAGTACGGAAACAGTGCTGATTTTTTAGGGCGGTCCGGACGTACGGAAAAAGCACGGAAATTCCGCAAAAAGGTCCGGAATTTTTTCATTTTTTTGGCATTTTTGTCGCAATTTGAGCGTGGAATTCAAATTTGTCGAATTTTTCGAATTTCGTCATATCAATTGGAGGCACTGAAAAAGTACTGAATATTTAATGTGAAGGAGTTACTTAATTTCTTGGGAATGTACTGAAAAAGTACTGTAAAAGTCGTGATTTTTGGCCAACCTGTTTTAGTAGACACCCTGCATAGAGAAAAAAAAAAGGAGGTGTTTGCATTTCGGGCATCTTGGAATTTTTTGATGACTTGATGACGTAGGTCGGTACAGCGTGAAGGGGACGTAGCTGTACCCACGTACGTCATCAAGTCATCAAAAAATTCCAAGATGCCCGAAATGCAAACACCTCCTTTTTTTCTCTTTGGACACCCTGATAACGCTGTTCAGCTCTGCATGTTTCCATATTTTTTGTCTGAACTTCCTAGTTATAGTATGTGTTTTTGGTCCTTACTCCTCGACTAATAAATCTGTTTTTATTTTGTCAACAGATATAGTTTATTAGAGACACCGTCACCCACGGCCAGGACGAACGTGACCTCTGAGCTCTGAACCGGAGTGAGAATTTCGCGAGTTGGAGTGCTTCTGAGCGGAGGATATTCGACACGATGACCACGGCGCGTTCGTTAGCCTTCACCGATTTCGAGGAGAGCATCGTCTTCGACATCGACGACCCGGACTTCGAAAACGGGAACGTCGGCGTGACGTCCGCCAACCACCCCCTCCCCCACTCGCACACCCTCACCACCAACCTCAACAAAGTCTTCTCGTTCACCGTCGGAGGAGGTGAGTTTCGTCCCTTTCATTTCTCAGCTTGCTCTGAAAACGGTTCTCTTATGGCCTGGTTACAGGCTCTTTCCGTCAAACTCCGATCAAAATGATGACCAAGATGGCGGTCGAGAATGGACCACCAGACAAGGTACGAATCTAAGCGATCTGACACATCGTCCCCTTCCAGGCAAAGTATCACAAGCGCCATGCGACGTTTAAAAATTTCTGCCGCCATTTTATTTTTTTACTGAGAAATTGTTGGTTGAATCTGCTTGGAAATTTCACTAAATTGTATCGGCAGCACGAAGAAACTTCAGTGAAATTTTCGGACAGCTTCGTTGAACAATTTCTCTGTAAAAAAATAAAATGGCGGCGGAAATTTTTAAACGTCGCATGGCGCTTGTGATACTTTGCCTGGAAGGTAACGACATGTTTCTTAACCAGAATTTCACGTGGAAAACGATTCGCACAACGAAAATTACGGAAGCCAACTCCTAACGAAGATATTAACGTTTTTATTTCACATTGGTTACGAGGAATTTGAACTGCCCGCTCACAAGAAACTCAAAGCTCTACGTGAGTCAAATCGCCCACTACAACGGTTTCAGCAAGCTTCTCAATCGAGCAATGTTCATTTCCCATCATGTGTTGTTCAAACTATTAGCAATTTGCTATAACTGAGCCAAAGCGTCAATATTAAGGTTGCCAGATTTTTATATCGCAGAGACTGTCATGATAACGTTTAGCGCGCGATGTGAATCACGTAGAGCATTGTGTTTTCATGAGCGGGTGGTTTGAATTCACGCATTAAGAATCATTAAATATCTTCGTAAGGAGTTGATTTCGGTAATTTTCGTTGTGTGCATCGTGTTTTACGTAAAATTTTGGTTAAGAAACATGTATCAGAATGCTGAAATTCGTACCTTATCTAGTGGTCCATTACGTAGATTGATGAGTAAAATTAATTAAAACAGCGCGTTGATTGAAATAAGCATGAAAGAAGCGCGGTTGTGTGGAAATCAGATGAAGGATGAGCCCGACAGCTCCATCATCTACCATCAAATTTTTGCAGGCCGCAGAAATTTGATGGTAGATGGTGCGCAACAGTCACCATTTGATCGGAAATTGATGGAAATTTGAGCATGTAACCAGCCTACTAGAGACGAGAGACCCTCCACTAGTATCTTGGCCATGGTGGAAGCTTTTACTTTCGGGACGTCAGCATTCTACTGGTGACTTACCTACATGGTTGATGTTTAACAACGTGTTGATAGTTTCGTTTTGCAAATAATCCGAAAATGGCCGAAGTTTGGGGAACTCGTTTGGCTCATGACGTCACCCGAAGCTCATCATCCACCATGTAGGTAGGTCAACAGCCGAAATTAGGGTGATGACTGTTTCTCCTTTATAATTGGACCGCGTTAAGCAGAAAGGAACCAAGCCACATCAGCTATTGCCGAATTTAATTGGGCAATTTAATTTCTTACATGAAAACGGTTGTTTAGATTTTTGTACAAATTTCCGTGAAGATTCTCCAGAGTGCGAAGCAAATTCCTTAACATTTTCAAAGGGATCCGCACAAACGTGCTCTTGTAAGAAAGTAATTTTCCCATGTAAGTTTGGCAATAGCTGATGTGGCTTGGTTTCTTTCTGTTAAACGCGGTCCAATTGTCCATAAGGAATTGTTGAATCTCCGAAAGTAAAAGCTTCCACCTGTCGCCAAGAGGCCAGTGGAGAGGCCAGTGGATCATTCACTCGAAGAGCCCTATCCATCATTCATAAAAAAAACCTTAGATTGATAAATAATATTAGTATATAGATTATTATAAATATATTTATCATATTAAATAGTTTAAAACAAAACACAAATGAGAGAATTATTATCAACTCAACATCAAAGATCATTCACTCGAAGAGCCCTGTCCATCATTCATAAAAAAACCTTAGAGTGATAAATAATATTAGTATGTAGATTATTATAAATATATTTATCATATTGAATAGTTTAAAACAAAACACAAATGGGAGAATTATTATCAACTCAACATCAAAGATAAGAAAGATCTTGTCTCTGGGTTCTCCATAGAGTACACCAGGTAAAATAAAGATTATGAATGTAGGCGGGAAATTGAACCAGCCCGGAATGTACGAAACTTTGTGGGCTGATACTGCTGATAGTACTAATTAAAACATGAACTGACTTTTCGAATTTCGTTTAGTTGCGACGCTGCGCTTCAACACGGAATCGCGATATGTACGGGAACGAGCGGGTCCCATGTCAAGGAGATCCTTGACATTTTTTATTCTTTTTTTATCAAGTTTTTTTTTTATTTTTTTAATTTTTTGTAAAAATGTTTTATTCTTTTTTTTTGTTTCTTTTCATTTTTTATTTTTTTATTTTTTTGTAGCGGCAAATTCCTTCCGAAAATCTATCTCCGACGTCAAACGACTGCATTTTACTTGAGGTTGGCAAAAATTGTCCTTTTAATGATGCCATTTTGAGAGCTTCTTTCTTAATCACAATGTAAACCAAATAGTGCCTCCTTGGAAAAGGAGCTGTTCCAAAAACGACTATAAATACGACCCTGAGTCATTTTTGAGGCAAGGAAAAACAGTAGCTCTATTTCTTTTTAGCTTCGTTTCATCGTGCTCAGTCATGATTACTCCGATCATTACTCTGCCATGCCAAGGGAAAACACCGTATGAGCCTCCAGATGTTGCCAAATTCCTCTTGGAAAATCACAATTTTTCTGGAAAATTTAGAAATATTTTTCTCCAGATTTTTCAGAGATTTTTGCTCACAATTGTATCTAATGAGTCTGAAAATTTTAAGGAAAAATATTCATAACATTCTTCGAAAATAAATATTCACCGAGTGGAAATTTGGCAACATTCGAATTCTCATGCGGCGTTATTCCTTAGCAAGGCAATATTATCGTCATTGACTTCAACTGCAATTGACCTGGTTTTCTTATCACCTCGCGGAAAATAAAATAGTTCTCAATCGCCCTTCCCCCCACCCCTCTGTCCGTCATAAAAATGTCTGTGCACCTCGGCCGATTATAAACCTGGCGATATTGACTTTCATTTGGTTTTCTACATTAAGCCTTCCTGTCCGTCTGATCTGTGAAAACAGCGGATATAGGACCTCCGCCATTTTTAGGGGCAACGCTTCGTTTAGAAACGGCTAACTTTCATGAGTGTTGGTACCAAGTTTCAGATTTAGCTCGTTCAGGTACTTACTTTCTGTCAGTTAGATCAACCAAAACAGTTTGGTTAATCAACTATCTTTTCCAGGCTTGTAATGGAGCTCTTAAGGATCAATATAAAAACAAATCCGATTAAAAAAAATTTCTATTGTCGAGGAAGAAATTAACGATATTTACAGAAGTGTAATTTTCGGCCTAAATATCCATTTAAATTGAGAAAGAACTCTTTTCAGAAGTTGGGTTGGAAGATCTAAAATCTTTGAAGTCTAGTGGAAAATGTTATAGCTTGGATGGTTACGAATGCAACAGACCACTAGTCACGCGCCTTTCGCAGTGTCAATCCGATCTTTCAAATGCCTTCATTTTTCAGGATACTTCACGCACATCCGGGAAGTTTATATAGTTGTATGTTCCGAATCGCATACGCTGTAGGAATGAAGCTCTTGCATGCGTGCGGGACTTGCGATTTAAGTACTGGCTCTTATGTAAAATTTCGCGAGAAACACGATGGTGCCACTTGTTTTCTCTGAAATCAACTCCTAAGCTCAAAAAAGGTCTCAAAAGTCGAGGCCGTAATAGAGGGGATACCTCACGCTACCCTGAGAGTCCACCCATATATCAAGAAAAACCCTGCATGCAAAGATACGTTAGCAGGGTTGCCACTTTGTTTGAGGACTCCAAGATTGAAAACACGACAACCCTGTCAATGTACTTGCTCCCTATTTTTGCGGAGAGAGTTCGTCTTGATATAGAGTTGGGCTCTCAGGCTCAGGGTAGCGTGCAACTTCCCCTCCATTACGGCTTCAACTTTGAGAGATTTGTCTTAGCTTTTGAGTTGATTTCAGAGAAAACCAGGGATCGTGTTGCTAGCGAAATTTCACATAGGAACCAGTGTCTAAAGCACAAATTCCTGGCACACATAAGAGCTCCGGATCTAGTAACCGATGTAGTAGAGCTCCGGATCCAACAACTGATCTAGTAGACCTCAGGATCTAGTAACTGATCTAGTAGAGCTCCAAATTTAGTAACTGATCTAGTAGACCTCCGAATTTAGTAACTGATCTAGTAGAGCACCGCATCTAGTAACCGATCTAGTAGAGCTCCGGATCTAGTAACCGATCTAGTAGAGCTCCGGATCTAGTAACCGATCTAGTGGAGCTCCGGATCTAGTAATCGATCTAGTAAAGTTCCGTTCTTGCCGTCCCTCCGAAAGCTTACACCTGAGTCGCGGATGGTCATTATCAGATTTTGTCAATTAAAGACTCTCCAGGAACTTCGAAATGTCTTCCGCGCTTCGAACTTTTTTGTCGGGTCGAGCAGTCGTTCTTATCGCATCGTTCTGGATCACTTGGAGGCTTGCCACTTGATTTGCCGCCTTCCACCATTCTTCCCTGATTGATTCAGTTTCTTTTCTTGATTCCTCGAGCTCCCACCTCAGTTGTCTCGTTTTATTCGTCTCCTGCTTCAGTTGTTCCTCGATTTCAGCAAGCTCCATCGTCAAGTCCGATAACTCCCTTTCGAGTTCGGCGGATCGGTTATTCGACTTTATCAACTGCTTGTGAAAGTTGTCGGCTTGCTGTTGAACTTCTTTCAGCTGAGCTTCGGTCACTTTTACCGCGCTCCCCTTTTTCAACAACTTATTCTTCAAGTCACTGAATACCCTTTTTGTCGTCCTCAACACCTTTTTTAATTTTAGCGCTTCTTTTTCCATCTCCGACAACCGAGCTCTTAGTCGCGCGGCTTCTTCCCTGGACACCGCTAGGTGTCGCTGGGTGTCCTCAGCCTCTTTTTGCTTCTGCGACAGCT